CAGGGTCATGTACAATGAAATTGAATTTATGGCCGCCAATTCCAGAAATAAACTTTTACATTATATTTAAGACCCAGTTTTGACCAGTATGCTTTGTGCGCAGCGTCGGCCATCGGCGGCTATTAACACTATGTTGATTATTCCATAAGCTTAGGTCGCTCGTAAGAATCTTGTTCCGCAGCCCTTTTCAGGTTTGTTTCATTGCGTTTAGTTTTTGCTTCAAGAAGTTTATCTTATAGGGAACAATTTGGTTAGGTCTTTGTGTTTTTTTTTTAATCATTTCTATTAGTTTTTGTGACGTTCGCTCTTATGATCTTGCTTTCTCGTAAACGCGCAGTACCACGAAAACAAGATGTTTTATAGCACAGTGAAGTAGCGAAAAAAGAAGATCCGATCTTTGAAAGTCACAAGGCTTGAAACGGCCACTACGCCTCCGGCCTTCAACGAAGCTGCTTCTCTGGTAAGCTTTACCTATCTAAAGTAAATTGTGTGGGGTTTTTCCGCTCCCTTCCCGATTTCGGTTTGTATATATTTTGTGTTCTTGGTTAGAACTACGGTTTTGGCTTTTTTTTTTTTTTACAGATCGGTTTTTAGGTTTTTGAGCTAATTATCTTCTGGTTTTCGGTTATGGTGTTCATTGCGGTTTGCGGATTTTCCGTTTTTCAGCATTTGGTTTTCGGTTTTCGGTTTTCATTAAAATACTAACGCCTTTTTTATGTTTTGGTATCCGATGTGCTCCTCGGTTTTTCTTATTTAGGTTTCGGTTTCTCTTCGATCTGAGCGTTCTTTATGCGCCTCCACTGACTTGGATAGCCGCGGAACCTCTGTATACTCCTCTTGTCACCACTGTATCGGATCTATTAGGGTTTTAATAAATCTATTAGGGTTTTAATAAATCTATTAGGGTTTTAATAAATCTATTAGGGTTTTAATAAATCTATTAGGGTTTTAATAAATCTATTAGGGTTTTAATAAATCTATTAGGGTTTTAATAAATCTATTAGGGTTTTAATAAATCTATTAGGGTTTTAATAAATCTATTAGGGTTTTAATAAATCTATTAGGGTTTTAATAAATCTATTAGGGTTTTAATAAATCTATTAGGGTTTTAATAANTGAATGCAAATTACCGCCCACGCGTTTAAAACTGTTCCTCGTGTAGAAATTGAAAGGAGAACCAGTTCTCACAAACACATGCTTCGAGAAGACGCTGTGAACCGCTCCTTGCTTATTTGACAAGATAAAACCTAGCAGGTAGTTTCAATCAGTGAAAAATGTAAGGCGACATATCAAATTACGAAGTCTTTTACGCATCATATTACTTCTTTTGAAAAAATATAGGTTTAAAGTCCACGGGGTAGTTGAATATTTATCAGAACACCTGGAGCAAACAAGCTGAGATCCTTGTAGCCCAAATAATTTTGCATGAATTATCGTCTACATCAAACAATGATTGTTTTTTTCTGTTCTTTATAAATTCACGAGTAAACCATATGCTGCTCGCTCATGTTCCGCGTTATGACTCATGTCTCGAGTCTAGTTTGAAATTTTAATTTTCGCAAATATGGAATGAGAGATTGTCTAAATTGCATTTGTTTGTTCTACAAATCACGAGTGTACCAAGCGCTGCCCGTTCGTGTTTTTTATGGCGAGTGCTTTGGGTGGCAGCATGTGAATATTTATTTGTTTATTTCTGTTTTAAAATGGCCCTTAATTCCCTTGCCTAGTCTACTGGCTTCAAATTTCAAAAGAGATGTTATAGTGTGTTATAGTCCATGGCCAAAAATGACCTCTCGTTTTCCTCCGGGGGAGTGATGCTGTCATGCATTTTTGAAAACTACAATTACTCTTGTTTAATGTTATGTAGGATAGCAGCGCCTAATGAGTAATTGAACAGGTATTGTTATGTGATCAAGTGACGTCCCTCCTTTCTACATAATTAACAGGAAACATATGATAACTGCCCAACAATATTCTTGGCAAGCGCATTAACCGTTCTTAAAGGATTTGTTATCTATGAAATAATAGAGGTTTCTTCCAAGGGATTTTTTAAACTTCTACGTTCAAAATTATTTGAGTTTCAATAATTTTTTTCCATAGCAACACTAAAGTACCATTGATCAGTAAAAGCATAAAATCTTGAAATATTTTTGGTTTTTGTCTGATCTCGCAAAATTTTCACCAAATGGAAGTCGAAAATAAGATCAGATTCACAGCCAATAGTTAAGTTAGATGCCAGGGCTAAATATAGAATATATCTTCATTAATATCCGTACACCATCTTGAATTCACCATGTTGTATCTGCCATCTTAGATATTTATAAATGATTATTCTAACATATAATGAGGCAAAATTGTTTGAAAATATAAAGCATTGTACGTTTCAAGTAAAACTACTTATTATTCAATCTTCAAACACTCCGTTAAAAATAAGGTCACAATTATGACGACTGAATATTTGAGAAATCAGAGTACTTAAAGCTCATTACTTTGCCTGAATAGGAATACCCAATTTACATGGAGGAATAATGATTTCATAATTGTCTCAACTATATCTCAATAGGTTAAGGGATGATTGCATTTTTTTTAGTCTTCCTCATCCCCATCGTCCTCGTACCTCAGAACATTCGTCATTGGGCATTTCTTCCTCCTCCTCCTCCTTCGAGGCAAGATTGTTGTATTGCCAGTTACGAGAGTGTTAAGAGAAAATCATCAAGTTTTGCTGGAACATTAATTGCGCCCTTTTTTAGTCTCTTCCTCATTCCATTGTCCTCGTACCTCAGTTGGTTCCTTGGTTCATTTATTTCACACTATTTACATAATATTAACATAGATAGAAAAGTATAATCGCAACAAATGATTATAGAATAAAATAAATAAAATACAGATTATAAAAATGTGAGTGGTGGTCAAAGTAGCGAAGGCTCTCTAGTTGGCCACCATCTACTTTTAGATAAACAAAGAAATGGCACTGAGCTTTATTGGTAAATAGTAAAAAATGTGGAAAGTGCTTGTAGAGTCTAGGATTGATGTTCAAGAGAGAATTACGTGTATATAATTAAAGGTATGTTAGAGATATACTGAACCAAGCTAGAAATCTATACAGGACAAGGTTAATAAGAGAAAAACAGACACACATACAAACAAACAAATAACAGCAACACCAATCAACGAAAGAAGAAACAGAGACAAAGGTGAGGAAAAGCACAACACATTATCAGCAACAACAGCAGTAGCAGCGGCAACAGACTGAAATATAAGTGGACAATTATTATTATTATTATTATCATTATTATTAACTCTGTTATTATTATCATTATTTACATATTGATAGTTATATACTATATATTTCATCACTAAACAGATCCTATAGTATTTGATCGACGAGAGATCAGGTGGGTCATATAAAGTTTCTTAAACCTGTTAAATAAATTTTTTTATATTTTTCAATGCCAAGGGTACAGTTTCCCATATAACAGAGGCAAAGTAGTTAAAATTAAATTTCCCTATGTTAGTTCTGACTTGTGGTCGGTGGAAATTAAGCTTGGCGGATTTTCTGGTGTTCTGAGAGTGGACTGCTGTTGTAGGTATTAAAAATTATGGAAAATTGCTGGAACAGTTGTTGGATTGTTATATAATTTCAATGCAAGTGAGCAGATTTTGAATATACCAACATTTTCAAATTTTAAAATTTCATGGATTTGGTAGTAAGGGAAAGAGGGTTCCGGTTTGTTTGCAAAAAAGATACTTCGAATGCATTATTTTGTTTAGAACTGATCTTATTTAAATTAGCATAATAAGTGTTTCCCAAACACATTGCACCATAATTAAGATAAGGGTAAATAAGTGCATCATACAGTTGTCTCAGCATCTTTAAATTTAGGTAATTCCACAGTTGATAGAAGATTCCAAGGTGTTTAGTCATGTGCTTTGTACATGTGCTATTTGAGTTTTCCAATTCAAATGCTTATCTAAATAACTGCCTAAAGATTTGAAACTAGCTTTGCAATCAATGTTTGAAATGTTAATATTACGGTTATTTGTTCTCAAATAGCAATGAGATTAAACAGCACCAACCACTGTGACTTGCTTACTATTCGTAATTCCTTGAAAAGAACTCGTACTCTTAAAGTTAAATAAAATCGAGCCACTGACTCTAAAATTTAAAGTGCTGATATAACTGCCACTAACAGGTCTCACTCAGCGAGGAATACGCATACAGGAAACAGTTGTTGAGGCAGTGGTTCCTGCAGCTAGCCAATGAGTGCAATTTTTGTTTAACGTTTACTTCTTAAAATAGCCATGTATCGCAGCGTAAATATCATGATAATGTAGACCAATTAATTCCGTCGTTGGGTTAAGGTCCTGAAGAAGGTACCGGACGTATGCTACGGCTAAATGCCCGGCAGCCTGGCATCATCTCAAATAGACAAAACGCCTAGAAGTCGGACGTTTTCTCCGAAATTCCTTTTAAAGGTTCTTTCAAAGTTCTTAAGAATATCAGATGTTTGTTTAGAATGTCAAGCAATTTCAACAGTTTGTTTGTTTTTTTGGTTGTTGACGCTTATAACTTTTTTTACTTTTTTTCGGCACACGCTTACGCTCTAAATTAAAACATAATACATTTTGTATTCCTGTTGATACAATAACTTTTAGACCCTGTAATCACACACAGAATGCTTGGTCTGCCTTTGCTTAATTCACGCTCCTACAGAATCATTTTGCTGCGCCGACTACGAGCTGAAGTCACTGTAGTTGCTCAGTCTAAATCAAAGATATCCGTAAACGGTAATTGCCTCAAGCTGTTTAGTTAAAGATTAAAAAATCTTCCCCCTGAATATCATTGTTCCCTTCTTTGAAATGCGAAAAGTCTTGTGTAACCATGCCCACAGAGCGTGACACAATGCTCGCAAACAGGAAGTCGACTGAACTTCGCAGAAACCCCAAAATTCTTACACTATCATACATTAATTATGAGATTAATTGTCTTTAGGCTTTGTAGTCGTCGTTCAACCTTACTTTCTGGTGAACGTGTAGTATTCAAAGCTTCCTACTAAACCTTTGATGTTTTGTAGCACGGTGAAAGAGTTAGAAAAAGAAGATCATTCTTTTGAAAGTCACAGGGCTTTAAATAGCTGCTACGCCCCCGGGCCTCGACGAAGCTGCTTCTCAGGTAAACTTTGTATATTTCGAGTAAATTGTCTGGTTTTTCCGTTTTCTTCCCGATTTCTGTTGGTTGGTGTTCCTGAATGAAACCTACGATTGAACGAAGCTAGTGGCGATGAACAATTTCTCGTTCAAGTCTCGTTTCAAGTCTCTCATGAACTGATTACAACACTACGGTGGTAGCGACAGCAAAGTCCGCCATGCCCTTAAAAAAAGTGAAACTGTGGGAACTACCCTTGTAAAGAAACCTTTCCTCAATAAGATAATAAAGGTTAGTGAAAATGATAAAGCAGAGTTACTTCGCCCGATTTAAAATGTAGTGTAAATATATTACTGCTATAATATTTCTTTTAATTTCAAAATGAAACCCGGCCATGTTTTATCGTGTTTACATCTGTTCAGTGGTCAAACGAACGGTGGAAGACTCGAAACTTCTTGTCTTCCATCAAACAAAAGTTTTGTAAGACAAAACTGACTAATATTTTCTAATAAAGACGTAGCAGAAAAAAGGCTCATCATACTTGGCTCGTTTTAGATATTTTCAAATTGAATGGAAAACTGAAACGATATTGATATAAACAGATTCTGAAAAAGTCACGTGAAATCCTCCTGTTAGTCTCATTGTCTCGTCTCTGTCGACAGGAAGCGAAAAAACTCTCGGTAATGTATAGTTGGAAAACACTCGTTATTATAATATTATACTTATAACTTACCACGTACAATAAAAGCGGCGGTTTCCTTTAGAGTCTGTAAGGAATTTTTAATTTTGCCTAACAGTTGGGTTAATCAAAAAATATTCGACTTTTTCCGTCCAAGGAAACACTGATACTTTTTGCCTTTCGATATTCAAAAAACCTCACGCAAATCATAACAGACAGAGAAGTTTTCTATGTGTTATTGATTGCGGGCGAAGATTTAGCGTATTCATTTTAATGTGACACTACGGTCGTTAACTGAAGACGTGAGGTCGATGTGTGGCTTTTGTGTAAGCTTTTAGACCCTGGGTGGGAAGGTTCAAATAGGCCAACGGGGATGTGCCACTGGATGGGGGTTGCAGTTTGTACACGAGTATCTTACAAGAAATGAATCATTACGGGAGATGGTGTTTTGATAATCGCTTTCTAGAAAACGTCCTCAGGAACCGAAGCACCCCACGGGCAAGCACATACCTAGAAAACATTTACTCAAGTGTCTTCCCTCGCCCTAAGGTATCAAAGTTTGCTTTTCAGAGAAAGAACGGCAAGTTTAACGTAGCTTTCTGGCAATTACTGAGTTTGAAAAATGTTCGGTGCAGTTCTAGTTTAGTGGAGTAACCTCAACATTTGCTTTCTATGCAGGATGGCCGAGGGAAGCGAAGCTTATTCAACATCCTATTCGGACTCAGATTTTCCTATGGCTGACTTAAGTAATAGGGAAAATGACAGCGATTTCAGAGAGGACTCTGGTGCGGATGACCACGGTAAGAACCTTTTAAAGAAAATTAATTTGTCCTGAAGTGATTTTAATGGGTGCAAGTGGTTGTCAAACAGGCGGTGTGCGCACTCCGATTGCATTGCATTGTGGTAGCGTTATTTTCAATATGGCGGTAAAAGCGGCAGAAATCGGCAGATTTTGACTAAACATTCGTAAAAGTTAGGCCGTTTCTTTTTCCTTTCTCTATAGGTAAATATAATTTGATATATTCTGAATGTGTACAAGTATTTTTCGTACGTATTTGTCGCGTACTCTATCTTTCTTGAGGACAAACGCAAGCACTATTTTTTAGCATGTAATTTGAGACCGGTTTTCGAGAAGGTCAAATTCGTTGCACGTCGTAGTTTGAAGCCTTTCAAAGATTTTTATAGCCACTTTGATCCCTCTTCAACAGCTCTGATCAAACGCGCTCAAATGCGCTCCAACAGTATAAATGTTTTAAGCATTTTAAGCGATAGTGTTTGAAACCCTTTCATGGAGTAAAAAGGCCCATTGTTGAGTTTACTGTGTTGCGTTTTACAGCGTTACTACTGCAAGGAAATTTATTAAAAGTGCTCAATCGTATTGTAAATCTACTTTCCTAAGTGAAGGAAAATTAATTAATCGCGAGTGTTATGTGGCAAATCCTCTTTCTTCATCAATGAATGAAGGACAACTTAATTAGAACAAAGAAGAGTCACTTAACCATGAAAACCTCTACCTTGCGTGAGGTGACACGCCAGAAAGCCAGAAAGCCTCCTAAGAACAAATTGGTCACGGATCGAGGAATGACGAGAGTCACGCAGGCCCGTAAAACTTTTCAACTTTCGAAGGAACAGCAACAGACAGGGAATCCCCATTACAATCCACTTATATTCACGCTATCTCGCTGCCACCAAAGAAATTCACTTCAACACGACAAGATACAAATGACTCATAATGCAAAGCAATCAGATTGCGCACGCCACCTGGATGTCAACCTAGTTTGCTTGGTGGCTCATTTACATGCCTGTAGAATAGAGATGCGGTCTGACTATTTATTTTAAAAAATTATCGTCGGCTGAAACATAACGTTTCGGCTTTCTATCGAGGTACCGGTAGACTAAACATGAAGATGTAACGTAGTATTTAAAATACAGTCGAACCTTGATTATCCGTACTCGTTGGGACTAAACGAAATAGTCCAGATAATCGAGGGTTCAGATAACCAAGAATATGAGTTTTAATGAGGACCAAAAAATGATTAACGAGATCTGGCCTGATGTTGTGTTCTCTGGCAAAACACTTTACTCTCACAGTACCTCTTTCGACCCAAGGGTAAAAATGAATACTGGCGAATTGTCGGGGGAGGTGGAAGGAGGGGATAACTTTACAACAGACTGGTATCCATCCAGTGGGGAGAAGTGATACTCCTAGTCGCTTTATGGAAACCGGAATAAGGAGCGGTTGGGTGAATTACATGGCTCGAGATCAGACTTTGCCTACATGTGATTGACTGTTCCCCTATGAATAACAATCTAATGGCAACAATGAAATGATACGGTTCGCGCGGTTTCATTCCTTACACACAAACTGTTTTTTGATAATATTCCTTGCGAAGAAATGGATATTGTAGTTATTACTGTAGCTGGCAGTAGATAAAAATAGTTTTAACAACATTTTGTTGCATGGAAAATTATCAATGCAAACTTGATATGAAAAATAAAAACCCCCAATGTCACTTACAAAAGAGGCTTGGCTGAGTCTTAAGTTTATCATATCAGTGTGCATAAGATCTGTTCTTTATCATCTTTTTCTTATTTTAGTTCTAAGAGCTGATTGGAACAATTGAATGAAATTGGAGTTATTGTTTATCTCCCGGGTGTAATTGGTTAATCTTGTGTGAGAAACCTGGTATTGACAAGGGGAACTCTAAAAGTTGTTTCTTTTTTGGTAAAACAAGGCTCGCCAACAGAGAATGAGTTAGAAGAATTAGGTCACGAAATTGCTGAAAAGTGGATGAAACTCGGGCGTCGCCTGGGGGTCAAGGATCCAAAACTACAGGATATAGAACAAAGATACGAGCAGCTGTGTGAGAAAGGATACCAAATGTTGATACACTGGAAACAGGGGTATGGATCCGCAGCAACTTACCAAACTTTGAATGCGGCATTACAGCATAAATCAGTGCAGCGTAAAGACTTGGCAGAAAAAATTTGTTGTAAAAATGGTAATTATTTTTTTATCAATATTAGTTAATTAGAATAATCATTATTGAATTATTCCATGACAGTGAAACCTGTATTAAGCATACATTTGAGGGGGGGCTCACCTTATACCAGGAGTTTGATATTTTGATATATCATCCTCAGAACATCGATATCAGTATCATAATCCCAAATGTTTGCCAGGACCTGAATATGTGGAAAAAAAATCAACCGTGTACTACAACCAGTTTTCGCAAGTAGGAAAATCTCGGAAGACTTATAAGTCACGGAATCAAAGCCCTCACTCGTGCAATGCGAAATATAGGCTACACGAATCGTTGCCTCCACCTTTGCACTGAAGAGCACAAATGTTCCGTCATCCGTAAACATCTAAGGATGAACACAATCGAAGACCGAACAATCTTTACGAACAATTTGCCATTCTAAAGAAATGCCGCGGAAAGTTTTAGCGCCTTAGTTATGAGATGCTTTTAATAAGGAAATGGAAACTCTGAACACTCAAAAAGACCCCATTCCACCCAAACTGTTCACTTAATTACGTACATCCTTTTGACCCACTCCTTTTATAATAATTTAGTTTCACACTTAATTTTCTTTATATAACGTCACTGATTATACCATTATGAAATATTATCCCAAATTATCATGATATATCAAAACATTAAACCCTTGGACACTTAGTCAGATCTTATCAAACATTAATTCGAGATTATGACACTGATTTTGATTATTTTTGTATCATCATGATAACATTATTTTCTGATATTATCATGATATATCATGCTGGTTCATCGGTGGGAAAATCAAAATCGAGGCAGTACACGGTTGTGATGATTATGGTGTTTATTCTCAAATCTTAAAATATCACGATGATATCATAATATCATCGTGAGATGGCATACCAAAGATATATCAAAATCTCAAAATCTTACAGTTGATATGATATAGATCACGCGATCATAGGTCATTTGATAATACTACAATATCACGAAAGTATCAAAATCTAATAGTTTATTTGATATTTTTATATTCAGCAATCATGCAGCTTTGTGTAAACACCAGTAGCAAAAACATTCTGAATTTGTATGTAAAATTTATTGGGCTGGACTTTAGAAGGTCAAACAGCAAAGAGGTGAAGAAAATAAAATAAAAACAAAAACAACATGACTGTAGGTGGGATTACATTTGACTGTTTGTTGCAATTTAACAGGTGGTAAATTGAATATTCATGTTGCGGTAGAAGACTTGAAACCTAAAGAACCCGATACAGAAGGAAGTGTGTCTCATTCAGGAAGAGAAGATCCTCATGCACTCAGAGCCCTGAGCTTAATTGCTATGAACTACCTCCAGACCACACCACCACAGTCAAGTGAAGAGCGTACTGAGTTTAAGGAATATTTGAGAGAAATGAAGGTCATCATTACAGGTGTCTATGTAGGAAGTTTGATGATAACAGTGAAGTGTGATTCTCTCCAAATCTTGGAGAAATTGTGGGCAGATTATTCATGTGGTCGTCTTGGTTCAATGGTTCAAAGTTGTTTTGTGACTGAAAAGATCTTGAAGGAACTGAACCTAGCTGAGCTGAAGCTGAAAACAACAATGGATATAGAAGAGTACAATGCAAGGAAAGTTTATTTTGAGAGAGTTGCACTCAGAGGTTAGTCGACAGAGAGTTACAAAACAAATCTTTTCACAAAATATTTGAAAATGTTTTGGAGACGTTCCATCACTCTTTTATCATAGAGTACCCAGGGGTTTTAAGATATATGACTTTTTTCTATAGTTTCTGATCAACACAGAACTCATTATCGCATTGAACAGGAGGCTACATAGAGCCCATATTCTGTTCGGATTTGCGGTTCTAAGGCTAGGGAACGAATTGAAGGCTTTGCTATTTTCAGCAAAATCGCTGTTGAGTGCTTTTCATTGTTTTTTAGCATGGAGAGTTATGAAGATTAGGAACAAGTTTATATCATGACAAATTGGAAATACTAAAATCGCCAGGACTAACATAGGTGCCGCGGCAAAGTCAACAGAAAAGGAATAATTGAAGAATGAAATTTAGTGGTCCTGTAGCGTGCAAGGTTGCGTTACTAGTATGGAATCTTTAGCTCACTTTCCAACCATAAGTCTTTTAAAATGGCCATATCTATAACAGGAAAAAGCAAGCTGACTTGGGTCAGTATGCACTTGGAGACTCGAACTCTTTGATCAAAATACGCGTTGTAAAGATAAAAAGATAAAAGAGGAAAGCATCTGAAAGAACTCTCGAGGTTTTTCGGTCTCACTATGTGACTTAGATCGAGTCACAGATAAATCCAGAATGGTACTAACCATCCAACTCCGCAGAATAAAAGCATTGTTTACAGGGTTATCTCCCGCTTACATCTGATAATTAAGAAACCTCTGAAGTTTTTTGCCTCGGAAAGTTAAACCACAGAGCGGATTTTATGGACCACAAGTGTTGTGACCGGATGAAATTAAAGATATGTGACAACAGTGACTTCCACAAGTTCTTTCTGTCAGCCTTGATTTTCATGGATGGGGAAATCCTGAATGTGGGGTATCTGTAGAATAATTAGATCTCTCCTATACAGTAAAATTTTGACTATTTGGACCTCAATTATCGCGGTTTTTTCGGACTTGCCTCTCCAGTCCCACTCTTTATTATTGTTAGAAAATCTCATTCAAGAATCATGTGATAAAACTCCCTTCAAACTAAATTTGTTCCGATTTTTTAAGGTGTTGAATGTTCTAGATTGGTTAGACAATGCAATATTGATCGTATTCGACTAACTTGGGAGCTACAGGCAATGATGGAATCAGCAAAATACATGCTAGAGCAGCTTGTAGCAACCTTTTGCGAATACTTTTTGCCAATGAGTATGTGCTTTTATATTCTCATTCCATTTTTTGTTTTTTTTTTTGGCTCATTAATATTCACATTTTCGTTTATCCAGACTCTTGATTATTAATTCGGACCCTCGATTATCCGCAATTTTCTTCCAGTCTTCATAAGTTCGGATACTCAAGGTTCGACTGCACATCGAAAATGCAGTTTTAAGTGAATCATAAACATAAGTTTGTTTGCTGTTCTTTTTAACTCAAGATTCTTTGGGCTCTCACTCACACTTCATAAGTTCTGAAGATCAAGCACATTTGGAAAGCTGGAAGCAGAAGACAGAGGTTGGGGAGTCAGATGTGATGAAAGGTAATTTCAAGACTCTAATTAAAAAATGTTATTGAGAAATTAGGAAAGTGCAAGTTTTAGCATTGGTCTTTATAGAAACCCTATGCAGGCAACCTTAGAATGTTAACCCCTTCCTGAGAAGTTTGAGTATTCCCATTATCTGTTTGCTGGATTATGTATGGATATTGTGGAGAGAAGCTACAAACATGTTAACCACTTCTACGTACGAGTTAAAGGATTAATATGAAGAGTTTGTTTTGTACAATTATAATTTGTGATGAGTTATTAAAAAACTATTATCCCCAACTGTGTTGCTCATTCCTGGTCATGAAAAATAGCTGGTAGAACGAGGTAAAACCGTGAAACCTTGGGGATGGAAGAAAGTAAACAAAGAGTTCTATTAATTTCAGCTTTTCTGCTCAGTATTATTTTTGAAAGGAAACTATTTCCACTTTACTTTTGCCCCATTTTGTTCTTGAGTATTTATATATATATATATTTTTTTTTATAAAAATATATGTATGTCAGTATATAGAGAGGTATATCGCTCGCACCAATCTGATCACTGCAAAGGGATATGTTTGCACCAATCCGAGCGTCGGTGTATTTTCCCTCATGTAAATCATGTCGTGGAATTAGGGTGCCACAAAATGATGCAATAGAATCAACCTAACATCGACGCACACTAAGAATGACATTGACGAAGAACTGTGAGGTCACCTACCCAGTACATTGGTTCATGTCCTTGGTAAAGCGCAATGCGCTCTCTCTGAAACGGAAAGGCAGGGCGTTGCGTGACGCGACCAGACAATGGCTGCGAAGGAGACTATAATAGGCTTGGTATCAAATTGAATACAGTTTGTTATAATTTGCCAACAATTATTCAAACAACAGAGACAACAGACAAAATAATTTACCGATAATTTTCGCCCTGTGGCAGAAGCAAAGTTTTTAGCGGTTTGGCATGATGGGCAGAGCTTTTGAACACTCGGAACAACATGGTAATTACTCAGTAACTCAAACAGTTTTTATTGTGGTCTCTCTGCTCTTTGGTCGGAAGACTCAAGCTTTCTTTTTCTCTCCCCCTTCTTTTTTCTTCGTTTTGACAGCAGATAGAGAGGACGGAGAGATCCAACTTGAAGGTGAAGGCGAGGAGAGTGATGAACAGGACGAGGAAGTGGAAAACGAAGGAGAGTCATTATATAATGAGAGTAAGTACTACCTCGCTATGAAGCTTGCGCACAAATGCTTCTTGTATAAAACAGGACTGGATACGAAAACACAGAGGATATTAGTGAGTTTCGGCATCAAGGGCGTAGCTTATATTTTTCAAAGTGGGTGGAGGGCAACATCGTGTCACACCCAGAGTACCTATTTAACTGTTGTGTGTACTAGTAGAAGTGACAATTTCGGTTTGCATATGTCGCACTTGAAATTCACACTCAGGGAGAGGGGTCTTAAGAACTTCCCCGCCCCAGCTGCTACCACAAGCATTACGTTACGATAACGGTGAATGACAATAGTAAACTCTAATTTTGCCCACTTTTCCTTTAATTGTTTTGTTCTAATTTATTTTCACAATAAATGAATATAACTTTCTTAAGCATACAAACAGCTTAAAGCAGACGTCGAGAAATTCAACTTTTAATTTTTCCCGATTTAGTAGACTTTATTAAATAGAGATTTGTTTATGAAAGTTGCAGCCTCAGAAGAACCAGCGGCGGAAGATTCTGAAGAAAATGAGCTCTCTTTCAAGAGATTTGGGTACGAGATTATATACATACTCTTCCTTAGAGGCGCTTTAACTTTTGCAAACATTTTATAAAGGTGCTGAGAGAATTTAGAATTTTTGGCAGTGACACAGCTTTAAACGTTTGTCTCTTGCGGCAAATTTACACCTAGTATCAAAGCCACTTAAGTTTCCGCATGATATAAATCTCAAAACTTTAAACAAACAGTGCATATTGCCCTGTCAATCCTCGGGATTTCCTGTCCAATTGAAAACATGCTGCAAATTGTTTTCGTCTTGAGAAATCAGCTTATCCTTACCCAAAACTCGACATTGGAATGATTACCATCTATCATTCATCCAAATATGGAATTTTGATAATTAAATTGCAGAAGACCCCATGAAAAAAAAACTCGTAAATTTCAGTTACGTTTCCACTTCGAGCTACCAACTGCTTTGCGAAAACTCGCTTGCTCGCTTGCTCACTTGAATTTTTAGCCTAAATAGCTGTTCAAAGGAATTAGCTTTAAGTGCTACGAAATCTGTCTTTAAGATGGACCTTATGTCTTTTATAAAGAAGGCTATAGCTACCTCTTACGCCACACACCCTGGTACAATCTCTCAAAAGACAAATAGTTTGTCGGGGAAATCGTCTTCCTTACGTTACTGTGCGTGACATGATTTCCAACGTATTTTACGAACGGAAAGTTGACCAGCATATTTTCTCAGAAATGAAGCCGTTCCAAGATTAGTTAATTACATTTGAACTAGATATTGTTTGCCCCCGAGGCAATACGGCGATTAGAAACCGTGAAAGTGTCTGTAAATGAGGAGAGTGACTAGGCCAACGGATCGGCGGATTCTGAAAATTATTTTGCCCGGATTTCGGATTCAGAGCTGTTCGCAGTTTCATCGATATTTTGGGTCCGGATTTTGGATTTTTCTTGTGAGGAAGATCCTATAAGAAGTGTTATAATGTCAGGACGTTTTTAAAAAACTGTTTGGCCAACGCACAACAGCTCAAAGTGCGTTGTTCACCTTTCCACATGTCAAGTGGCAAACGGATTCGGATTTAATTATTTTTTTTGACGGTATGACGGATTTTGGTTATAAATTTATAGCGGATCGGCGGGTTTGCATACCCTTCTTTACCCCCCTCGTTTATGCAAGAAACGGACGGAAACGTAGACAAGAAACATTCTTCGGATTAAATACCCCAAAATAGCGCTACATGTCGCCGCTCCAATACATGGCTATAATGAATAGCAAATTTGAACCGACTAAATGCGTGAAGGTACAGGAGGCACTATTTCAACAACTGCTTCGCTTCTTTCGGTTCACGTATTGTACAGATTATTCAAACAGATTTGAACCTACGATTGGCGTCTTTTTCAACTGTACATGTACATCAACAGATAATCTGAAGACAATGCTCTGTTCCCCAAGAATAAAAGACGTATTTCTATAGTTCCAAGTCTCTAACTGGCCCCATGTTTACATATCTGTACCTGAGCGCAGCAATTCATTTATACTAAGGCTGTATCTTCCGGGTTCTCCCTCGGTACGTTAAACTCAATAAACTCCTTTCCGGAATGGAGCAAAGGTAGATCACTGCAGTAGATGCTGTTGCCATAATCTGAAGAGCGGAAGGCAACCAAGTTATGTGTAAAAATGAGATTTGAAGGAATGACCTATCCAACAACTAAAAGCGACATCGTAACACCGAGAAGCAGGAATACGCTTAAACCTTGTACTAATTGTAGTCTCTACGTTTTCTTAATCATCAACAATGCACTTGTACCCCACCGTAATCGTGAATAGAGGAAGCTTAAACGAGCCATAACATGCACCTGTGGCCAATCCAAAATTGAAGACGATTTTGTAGCACACGACTTGCATTTCGAATCAAGTTTTGAACGGCAGCGCTGCCACAGTTTAGGGATCCTGTGGCCCCAGACTGTATTTGAGAACGAAGCAGTCTTTGGTGAGTCGCATCGCAGTCGTAGCCTACATCCTGAGCAAAGAGCAGCCAAAAAATTATCAGTATCAGGTTTAACATCACAAATGAAATGGGGATCAAGCAAAAAGTTTTAAAAATCTCAACGTTTCCTCCGAAAATCCGTTACTGATGATAAAGAAATGAAAGATTCGTCTCTTCCATGCACTTATATTGTAAAGGATTATAAAAAGTTTGCCGATTAATTTATCTCTTATATCGAATATTGCGGAATTTTTCACTAAGACTGATCTTACGTTGGTTTTATAAGAGGCTATTGTCATATTGCTATAGCTATTTTAAGCCACGCACCAGGGACAATCTCCAATAGACTCGTCTTGCGTGATCGTGCGTGACACAAGAAACGACGTGATCTCAAAACAGGAAGTTGACCAGCCTAATTTCTTAGAAATCAAGCCTTAACAAAATTAGCTAATCGCATTTGATCCTTTCTCCTGACGGACACCGTTCGTGTTATGTCGCCCTCCAAAGAAATTTTTATACTATCTTTGGTCTTGTCATTTCTACCGGAAGAAAAACATTCCATAAAGAAAAACCCCTAAATTTAGCAGGTTTTTTACTGACGAATCCAAATCCAGTTGCACACTCCGTCGTCGACGAAACGTTTTTCAAGGTAAGCTCTGTAATAGTTTTTAAAACTTGCCGGCTTCTAGCCTCTTCCACGCTTGTTCTATCTGTTATAGCGCAATCTTTTTTTTTTACTTTACAACAAAAGCTTATTACATGGTAAAAAAAAGATTAGCCCGCACAAACGTATAGGTCTTGCTTTTATTCAGGTCTTTGGGTAATGTCGGCGACCAACAACACGTCAGCCATTATCTCACATAATAAAAAAAAAAAAGAACAAAACAAGCTTTGACTGCGTTATCAAATGAATTTAAGGCACTGCTTCCCGGGTTAAGTCTGCTTATTGTAAAAATGTTTGGCCAGAATCGACAGAGGCGAGTGTTGTGAAGCACGTGAATTAGAGGCCTTTTTTTCTCTCTGATTCGTTTGACAACATCTACCCGACACACGCTTCGGGTAGATGTTGTCAAACGCTCCCTGCTCTATATTCAATAAGATAAAAATTGGCGGGTATTTTCGGTCAGAGGAAAACTCAAGGCGACACATCAAAATACAAATTCTTTAGCACATCATATCAGACTTCTTTTGAGAAAAAGATAGATTGAAAAACAACAACGTAATTGAATATTTATAAGGACACCAGTGGAAAATGAAAATGAAAATGGAAATTAACTCAAATCCATATCGCTATGAAAATTTGAAATAAATCATCATCTACACAGCCTTTTATTTGGTCTACACAAATTCACAAGAAAATTACAGGTTGCTAATTCATGTTCGTCGTGACTCGAGTTTGAAATTTTACGTAAATAGGAGATTGTCTTAATTGCATTTGTTTGTTCTACAGAAAATCACGAGTGCACCACTTGCTGCCAGGTGCCCTATCGTGTTTTTCATGGCGAGCGCTTTGGGTGGCAACAGGCGAATATTTTTGTTTATTCAGTTCTCTTTTCAAATGGCCCTTGCCTCGCCAAGTATACTGGCTACAAATTTCAAAAGAGATGTTTCGTGTAATTCATTTGTTACCCGTGGAACAGAATCAAGGTCTTCGAAAATAGTATCGTTACTTTGCCCCGGTCTCTACATCTGGTGTTATCTATACATTAAGAATAATTTCTAATACGTGACTTTGCTAATAGTGGGGTCGGAATTAATGCCGGGATTGACCGAGCCAATACCAGGTCGCTCAAGGAGCATGTTGCTTTGCGCGGCCTATATCTTTGTTGTTGTTGTATAACAGACCCCAGTATTAGCAAAGTCGTGTATTGTGTCGAAAGCATTTGTTTTGCGTCTCTTTGCTCTGTCATCAGTCCATTCGTTGTTATGTTAATTTGAGCTCTCATTGGCTCTCAGAGGTATTATCTTTTCTTTTAAATTGCCGTTGTCATGTTTTTGGTTTTATGACGCTCAGATAGCTAGAAGCTCTCTAAGACCAATTAACCCTGTGACTCCCAGACGTGATTAATACGTAACTTCTCCTTGTAATATCCATACATTATCCAGTAAACAGGTGGTGAGAATACTTCAACTTATTAGGTAGAAGTCGTTACCTTGAATGAACATCAAATTCTCGTCACCAATTTACAAGAAAATGTGTAGCAGCTAGAGGGGAGAATTAACAATCAGATCTTGGGAGTTGAAGGGTGAAGGTTTCCTTTCTAGGACTCTATAGATTAGTCAACGAATGATCAAAAGATATATTTTTTAAATTTCCTACGAAATTACACAATTAACTCTCAGCTTTCCTTTCAGGATGGCCGAAGGAGGTAACGAACGCTATCCCACCTCTGATTCTGACTCTGATATTTCCATATTTGACTCAGAAAATAGCGAAGATGAAGAAGACGATGGTGAAGAACTTTGTAAGAAAACTTAATTTTGGTCAAAGTGCAGAAAAATATGTAAAAATTTTTTGTTGTAGAGTCTTGTACCGTTCATGCACTTGACAACCGTTATGAAAATTCTGATTTCATATTACCTTTTTCAGTCACAAAATACAGATAAAATTCTAAGTCTGTAACATTACGAATGAAGTGAATCTAGAAATTAAACCAACTAGAAATATTTGAAGTCCGAGGAAGGCGGCCACTTTGAAATATGATGGTAAGAGATCCGACATCAAGAAAAATTTAGAAAGAGCTCGCCGTTTTTACATTATTTACGGTTCAAAGTAAAGCCGAAATTTTGGGCAGTTTAATTCGAATGGTGACTGACAGCAATAGGCACTCAGTTACTCAAATAGTTATTACTTTTATTCTTATTTGACAGCGGATCGAGAAGACGCTGAGATTCAACTCGAAGGTGAAGGCAAAGAGAGTGATGAAAAGGACGGAGAAGTGGAAAATGAAGAGGCGTTATTATACAATGAGAGTAAGTGCTACCTCTTTATTGAACTGAGTCCCAAGGGCCATTAATATCAGAGACAAAAACGCAGGCCTAAAATGTGGGGCTAGCCTGAGTTTTTAAATTGAACAGTGACGCAATATTTCATGACGTCGTGGTATACACAAACTGTCTATGGTCCAGACTGGCACGAATTGCTCATTGAACATCATAAGACTAAGTGGGTTGGGGGTCACATCGTGTCACACCTAGGGTATCTGTCTGACTGGTCTGCGGGCATTCATACTGCTTTCTGATAAAAGGGAAATTTATTGCTTTCATATTGCTGACTTGAAAAAACTCATCGAGGGAGTGGGGTCACCAGCAGCCCCCCCCCCCCTTCCAGCTAGTCGTCATCTATGATGGATTTAGTCGATACTGAAAAGTTTACGTACGATGCACGATCCTCGCAGTAGATAGCGCTATTTATGCAATAGCGAAAATCAGACCTGAAAAAAATCAGGCCTGTACGGGACTCGAACCACTGACCTCTGCGATAGTAGTGCAGCGCTCTACCAATTGAGCTAACAAGCCAACTGGGAGCAGGCCGTTAAGTTGATTCGTAATAAACCCGTGAAAGTGATAAATGAGATACAATGAATATATGAAGTTCATATATTTTGAACTGCGGTATTAGATACGTATGATGCACGATCCTCGCAGTAGATAGCGCTATTTATGCAATAGCGAAAATCAGACCTGAAAAAAATCAGGCCTGTACGGGACTCGAACCACTGACCTCTGCGATACTAGTGCAGCGCTCTACCAATTGAGCTAACAAGCCAACTGGGAGCAGGCCGTTAAGTTGATTCGTAATAAACCCGTGAAAGTGATAAATGAGATACAATGAATATATGAAGTTCATATATTTTGAACTGCGGTATTAGATACGTATGATGCACGATCCTCGCAGTAGATAGCGCTATTTATGCAATAGCGAAAATCAGACCTGAAAAAAATCAGGCCTGTACGGGACTCGAAC